TAATGTCTTTATTAAATAAACGAAAATATAAATCTAATTCTTCTGGTATTTCAAATATTAGTTATTATAAAAATAAACGTGCTTGGGTTTACGAAAAAGTTATTAATAAAAAAAAATATAAAAAACAATTTTATGATAATAAAAATGATAAATATGTGTTGCAAAAAGCAATAAATTATAAAACAAATTTTGAAAAAAATATATAAATATAACATAATCCCCCCTAATAAAAATAAAAAAAATGAAACATAAAAATCAAAATCTTTTATTACTTGAAAATTCAGAAAATTCTAATAAAAAATCTAAGAATAAAATTCATCCTCTTTCTCTAGTTTTTAATTTTATTGATAACCCAGAAGATTTTTGGCATACTTCTCTTGTTTGTCAAGAATGGAAAAAAATTCTTGATAATCATAAGTTTTGGAAAAAATTAAATAACCAACTTGGTTTTGAATCTTTAAATCCAAAAGCTCGCAAATATAACACTTATTATTCAATTTATAATAAAAATTGGAAAAAGTTATGTATTTGTAAAAAAGAACTTAAAAGACAAAAACAACAAAAAATTATTAATATTAACTTTAAACTTAATATCTTAAAAGAATATTCTGAGTATCGTTCAGAATATAAAGGATTTAAATTTAATTTTCAATATAATTCTTTTATTTTATTTGTTCAAAAAAAGATTGAAAAAATTATTTTAAAAACAGAAAATATTAAAATTTGTATAAAATGTGAAGAACAAATTATTGAGAAAATTAAAGCCTTAATAAATTTAATTGAAAAAAGAAAAAAAGAAAAAGAAAAAGAAAAAAAATTTTCTGATTTTTTTTATAAAGATTTTATTATAATTATTAAACGTAATCTTTATAATATTTTAAAACAAAAATATTTATTTATTGAGCGATTTGGTGGGATTGTTAAAAATAATGATTATCCAATTTTTAATTATATAGATTATAATGAAATTGAAGAAGCAAAAGAACATAGTAGACTATGGAATTTAGCAAATCCTAATTATAAAGAATTTATTTCATCTATAAAAATTAAAGTTTTTTTATTTATTTTATAAATATTCATATATTTTTTATTTTAAATTTCTTAAATATATAAATATCAAATAAATCACTTATTTTTAAAACAAAATCATATAAAATGCTGTCAATTTCAAAAAAACCCAATTGTACATCCAAAACACGTTGCTTTGCGTGTAGAGAAATGCAAATTAAATGTTCACCTTCTAGTGAAAACTAAGAAATTTGTAAAAGATGTTTAAAGAAAAATTTGATTTGTATTTCAATAAAACCTTCTAACTATGTTGATGAGATTAAAAGACTAAATCATATTGTTAAAAACAATGAAGAGCATATTTTATCTCTTGAAAAATGAGTTTCTAACTTGGAGCATAACGAAAAACTCATTAAAATGAATATTAGTCAGCTTTTTGCAATTTATGAAAACAATTAGTATTTTTATTTTACTACAATTATTTTTTTTAAATTCGTTTTTTAAATCATAAAAATCAATAATTTTTTAAAAAAAATATTGTTTTAATATTATATTTTCGTATTTTTTTAATGAAAATTTAAATAAAAATTTAAGTATTGTAGAAGACAAATTTTAAATTATAAAAGGCTTGTATTATTTTTTTTATCTCTTTATTTTTAAAATTATATTCGTTATATAAAATAACAATTTTATTATTAAAAATAAATAAATAAATAAAATAAAATAAAAATAAAACTAATTATGAAATAATTAAATGCTGATTAGAATTTGAATAAATATTTGTAATTCTAAACAAAAGAAGAAAAAAATGCTCAGCTTGAGACCAAAATTTTTAACAAAATCTTTGA